AATTAATAATTAATATATATTTATATATATATATATATATATATATCATATATAGCATAAATTTAATAATTACAAAAAACATAAATTTAGGCATAATCTATTTACAGATAAAATTATATTAATTGCATACAAATTGTACGCACACACATTACTTACAATTTTGCACAACTATATTCAATGCACCAACAAAGAAATAATGCGTACATATTCCCTTAAAACAAAAACAAAAAGAAAAAATACATACACATTTGCTAATAGCAAAACACAAGCAGCTAACGCATAAGCAAGCAAGTTGCATATATTCCAAACGCATAATAGTCAAAAATGTTAAATTGACTATTAGCAAGCAATCAAAATGAAACCAGTTTACGTTTTTTGCTGTTGCTAATGCATATTCTTATTTCATTTTCATATGCAATGCGTTAGCAATTATGCAAGCAATGCAATTAGCAACAGCAATTCAAACCCTGTAAAAAAATAATTAAAGTGACTATTTAAAAATTAATTATTGTTAGTAAAAAAATAATTAAAGTGAATATTTAAAAATTAAAAACAAATGAAATGAAGAAAGAAAAAAAAACCAGAAATTTTTGAAATCTAATTGAAGATTTTAAAACAACTACGGTTGATGATTGATGTCCGCGAGTGACTTGAAAAATTTTAGACGATATATTGAAATATATTACCCAATAGTGAATATTAAAATTAATTATTATTAGTAAAAGTAATTAAAGTGAATATTTAAAATAAAAAAAAAAAAACAATTGAAATGAAGAAAGATAAAAAAAAACAGAATTTCTTTTTTTTGAAATCAAACTGAAGATTACAAAACAACTACAGCAGTAGAATAATAAGAGATAATGCATAACCAAAAATTGGAAGCTGTAGATTATTATAACTAATAATGGTGTCATGTTGATTCGTTAAAACATTAAGTGACATCAACAAGGTGGCAAGACCTGCGTTGTGTGTTGAAGTTATAGTTTCATTACCGTGGTGCAACAATTTCCACCCAGCAACAACAACAATACCAACAACCAGAGGCAGCAACAACAACAATACCAACAACCAGAGGCAACAACAACAACAGCTAAGTGGCGAATTAATAAAAGAAAAAAAAAAGTTTTTTTTTATTTTTTTATAGCATCTAAATAATATTAATATATTTATTATTTTATATTTTTTTCTATAATATAATTTTTATAAGTTTTTTATTAGTATTAAGTTTATAACATACCATGTAATTAATATTCGAATCTGAAATAATTAGATAACTAATTTATTTACTTTTAGAATGATTTTTTTTATTTTATCTGAATATTCTTGTGCAAATAATTTGTTTGTAAACTACATTTGAAATTGTAAGAGATATGTATGTATATAGGCAATGATTAACTACGGTTACAGTGTTTAAGAGTGCAGGAGAAAGAAAAAAAGTATAAAGGGAGTAGTTTGTTTCTATTTACAGGTGATCTTGCTGGTGACGTCATCAACGAGGAGTCAACGAACCTGTATGTAAGAGTAACGCAGGTAAAGAGTGTTACATATAAAACATCTCTTTGTGTTTTTTTGTTTTTTTTGATTTCATTTGCAATTTTATTTTTATGTGGATGCAGGTATACATACATATTACGTTTTTTTTTTTTCTCTTTAAACAAAAGTTAACGTGGAAGTATACATAAGATTTATTCCTTTATTATTCTATTTCAAATTAATTTTTTATTTTTTTTATTATTTCTATCATTGAAAAAAAATTTTTTTTGTAATTCAATTAAACGTAAAAAAAAAAAAAATATGTAAATTTAATTTTATTTAGTTTTAATTCACATTATTGTGTGTTTGATTAGACGATAAATATAGTAGTTTTAGAATACAAATTGGTTTTTTTTTTTTTTTTCTTTATGCATGTCATAAAAGAAGAAATGATGGCTTAATGTTAAGAGATATAGGTGACGGGTGTAAGTGAAGAAGGGGGCAATGTCAGATTGAAGTAAAAATAAAAATGAGTTAGACAGGACAGGGACAATAAGGACTAAGACTGGTAGATGCATTATTACAAGGAAATAGTTTTTTTTATTTTTTTGTTATTGTTTTTTGGTGATCTACTTTGATCACATTTATTGCAATTTTTTTGTTGTTTTTGAACAATATTCTCTGGCACGATTGTTTTTTTTATTTTTTTGTTACGAATGTGTTATAGCGGAGTAAAATGACCCCCCCATTTTCTGACGAGCTAGCTGGCTTCGCTACCGTGCCAGAACTTACCTCCGCACACATAAAAAAATATCCAAAGATGTTTGAACGTATCAAATGGCGCCCAACGACGGTACTGACGAAAGAACAGAACTTTATTCGAACGACTGACCAACGACAGGATAAAAATAATAGAGAGTATGAATAAGGATGAAGTTGAAGCTGCCGATCATTCAGAATGAGTTCAGGTGGTTGTGAGGCTTGCTTTAGAAACAGCTTGTGAAAGGGTGGGTTTAGAATTTTAGTTGTGTTAGCTTTTGCGGTAGTTTAGACTGTAGCAAATTGTAAAGCAGCTAATAATTCCTAGAATTTATGGGGAAGACTAAAGACTTAGACGCGACTCAACTCATTTTTTTTTTATCATTGCCCCTGAGAGAATATCACTGAGAATACACCAAAGGTCATCTATATTCTTGTTATTATATTGTAAAGATTACAAAATTCATTTGAATATTTAAGAGTCTTAATTTGGATAGGAATTTTGAGAGTATTCACAAAGTTTTTTTCTTTAGCTCTTTTAGTTGAAATTCACAACTAAAGATTAATAATTTATTGATTGGAATTAAAAATTATTTTAAGTTTAGGTTGAATAACTTTAAGTATTATTCATTATTATTTATTTTGGTGAATTTTTTTGATTTCTTTACTTTTAAAAATCTTTATTCCTAGGTAAATATACGTATTTTTTTCTTATACTTAATATTTTTTATGAATTGAAGTAATAACGATATTGAATAATTTTTTTTGGTGAATTAGTTAAATAAATAGGACACCGTAATTAGTTAGATTTTATATTTCTACTCGCGATCGTTCTCCATTAATCAAACAACAGAATTAAAGCGGACTAACTTCGTGGAGCGAAATTAGCTTCAAATTAGTACTACCTAGAACTTAGTAGTAATTTGAAGTTAATTTATAACAAGTTCTTGCTAGATAGAATAGTTTTATCTGAGTTCAATTTTTGGAATTTGTTTGTGAATTGCTATATTAATTAGAAATAGATCAAATAAGGATCAGAGGTGTAACAAATATGGAGCCTACATATAATGAAGTCGAGGTAGATGAAGGTGCTAGCAGCCAGGTAAGAGGTGCTAGACCTAAAACTAAGAGACGTCCCTTAACAGGAAAGTTAGCTCAGAAGCCAGAAATAAAATCAGACGAGAAATATGCACGCCAAAGATCTTGATAAAGTTAGCGACTCCGAGAGTCCGACCGAGATCGAAACCAGATCGAAAGACAGAGACACGGCAAGCAAAGGTAACAAAGAGTTACCTGGCTCGTCAATGAATGAAGAGTTGGGTAGGCAATTTGCAGGTATGATGAGACAACAACAAGATTTCTTTACAGATTGTATTCAGTCTCTGAGAGCAGAAGTTGGGGCTCTGAATAATAGAATGAAAGAAGTAGAGGGGAAACCTTTAAGTACAAGTCCCCAACATGCTACAAATGTGAGTGTGGATTTTGATAAGCCATTTAAAAGGAACGTGGATTTAGAAAGGTGGCACATCAAATTTGATGGCTCCAATCGAGATATGACGGTGGAAAGCTTTTTGTTTCGCGTCGAGAGAATGCGTGAGCAGTATGGTGTGTCATATCAGCAGCTGTTTACCGAATTTCATTGTCTGCTGTCAGGTGATGCTCTGAAATGGTTCTGGCAGTTATTGGAACACCAAGAAGGTAATCGGTATTTCGATTATTTTCAGTTAAAACCAGAGTTATTAGCTCAGTTTAAATCAGCAGAAAGTGATTATGATATAATCAGAAGGATCATGGAGCGGAAACAACAACCTAATGAAGATTTTAAGCGATTCTACAAAGACATCCATGACTTGACTTTCAGGCTGAAAAGGAAAATACCGGAGCCAGATCTGGCCGCTATTATCAAGAACAATATCAGAGCAGGATTGGCTAGCCTGTTGTTTTCAGCTACTTTCAGCTCTTTGACCGATCTACGGAGGGAGTGTAACCGAGCTGAAAAATTGTTAAGAGAAAACAAAAGGAGGAATCAACACATCAGTGAGGTTTGTCAGAAAGAAATAGAGTATAGGGACCAGAAAAATAACCCTAGATGGGGGGTAGAGGTAATAGGTTTGGAACATCGTGAGAAAGGCATGGATATGTCAAAAGTCCGAACTGATCCAGAACCGGAGAGATTGACCCGATATAGAAGTGGGGTAGAGAAGGATGGTAATAACGATGTGGGAAAAAGTAGGCAAGATAGAGGTGCTCTTTGTCCATCACCTTTCCACTTAAATTTGTGCTATTCGTGCGGTATGCCCGTAGACTTTTATACAGTTAGGCAAGGTTCTGACCAAAAAACTATGTGTAAGTCACATTTTCATGATATGACGTGCTTTTTGTGCAACAAGAACTCGTCCTATTGTAGATATGATGGTAATGAGGGAAACGGTTCAAGGACATGGACGCCCGGGAATCGATGTCCACAGAAGCCGAACCCGGGGTACAGATACAAATAGAGAAAAGCAGTAACGAAAGAACAAGGGTAGTTAAACCACTACATCAACACAATCTGGAATGTGAAGAGAACCGAGAAAGAATTTTTAATGTGGACGTATCAAACCAATGTAAAAGGAATAGGAAATTTAGAAAAATTTTAAAACTTAGGCAGAAAAGGCGTTTGGTTAAGACAAGTCTTAGTAAAATTGTAGGTACAATAGTTACATTAGATGGAGATAATAGAATTTATGTCAAAACTAAGGTTAATCAGGAAGAAGTGATGGCCTTATTAGACTCAGGAGCAATGGCCAACTGTATAGGAAAGGAAGCATTGGAGTTTCTACGAAAGCAACCAAGTAAGCTAGTGAAATTAACAGGTAAAGCCATAAAAACTGCCAGTGGGGGAGAGGTACCTGTGATTGGAGTAGTATCACTACCAGTCCTTTGGGAAGGTCAAACTGAAATTATGGATTTTTTAGTAGTACCTACACTACAGCAACCATTCTACTTTGGAATCGACTTCTGGAAGACATTTGAGATCCCCTTGATTACCAAGCGAATCCGAAAAGCTGAAACGTTAGGCAACATAGGCGAATTGACACCTTGTTCTGCTGATTTAAAATTAACCAAACAACACCCATTGAATACTAGCCAGCAAAAGAAACTAGAGCAAGTTATTAAGGAATTTCCTTCTTTTAGTGAATTAGGCTTAGGAAGTACCAATGTCGAAAGTCATAAGATAGAGGTAACGAATGAACAGCTACCGGTGAAGCAACGACACTACCCGATTTCGCCTGCTATTCAAAAGCTTATGTATGATGAATTAGATCGAATGTTAAGCTTAGGAGTTATTAAAGAAAGCAATAGTAGCTGGAGTTCGCCTGTAACCTTAGTTGTGAAGGAAAATAAACATAGGTTGTGTTTAGATGCACGTAAGGTCAACGATCGCACAATCAAAGACGCCTATCCTTTGCCCCACATTGAAGGTATCCTAAGTAGGTTGCAGGACACCAAGTATATTTCGGCGATAGATCTCAAGGATGCCTTTTGGCAAATTCCGTTGGAGAGGGAATCAAGAGAGAAGACAGCGTTTACGGTACCAGGTAGGCCACTGTACCAGTTTACGGTTATGCCATTTGGGCTGTGTAATGCCGCTCAGAGAATGTGTCGTCTGATGGACAAGGTTATTCCAGCAGCTCTACGTGAACGTGTATTCGTTTATCTTGATGACCTATTGGTATGCTCAAGTGATTTCGAAACTCATATGATATTATTAAAGAAAGTTGCTGATTGCCTAAGTAAAGCTAACTTGACAATAAATGTACAGAAAAGTAAGTTCTGTCATATAGAAGTAAAGTATTTGGGATATATTGTGGGCAACGGCATTATTAAAACGGATCCTGCGAAGGTTGAGGCCATGAACATGTTTCCAGAGCCCAGAACAGCAAAACAACTTCGACGATTTCTGGGCATGACAGGATGGTACAGACGCTTTATACAAGATTACGCGACGATTGCTGCATCCCTGCATGACTGTCTCAGCAAAGGTAATTTAAAGAAATTCACCTTAACTGATCAGGCCAAAGTTGCTTTTGACAAGTTAAAAACTAGCCTCATTACGGCACCAGTACTGACGAATCCCGATTTTAATCAACATTTTTACATCCAATGCGATGCTTCTGCAGATGGCATAGGGGATGTCCTGTTTCAAATAGATCAAGCTGGAAATGAACGGCCTATAGCCTATATGTCTTCCAAGTTGAATAAAGCACAAAAAAATTATAGTGTGACCGAACAAGAGTGTCTTGCAGCTGTACTTAGTGTAAAGAAGTTTAGAGCGTATATAGAGGGCCTGCCATTCACAATCATAACGGACCATGCGAGTCTCAAATAGTTGATGAACCAGCGTGATTTATCTGGTAGACTAGCAAGATGGAGCTTGAAATTACAGGCATTTGACTTCAACATAGAACATAGAAAAGGTAATCAGAACATTATACCTGATACACTATCAAGGATGTTTGTTGATGAGATAACACAAGACTCTCGCAATCTAGATGTTGATTTGCAGTCACCTTTCTTTGTAACTGATAAATATAAATCACTCATCGCATTAGTGACCCAGGAACACCAACGTTTACCTGACCTATGTACCTTAGACGGTTACGTGTATAAAAGGACCGATTTTCGAAGTGGGTTCCATCTGAATTGCGATGGTCATTAGCAGAACGAGTACACGCATCACCATCATCTGGACACGGAGGGGTGCAAAAGACTTTAGCAAAATTAAAGGTAAAATATTTCTGGCCAGGAATGGTTGGTGACGTTCAGACACTGATAAAAGAATGCGAGGTTTGCAATACTTCTAAGGTGTCAAATAGAATGAGAAAACTACTCATGGGAATGCAAACCATAACCGAAAAACCATTCCAACGCCTGTATGTGGATTTCATGGGACCTTACCCTAGGACTAGCACAGGCAATACGGTAATTTTTGTAGTGCTAGACCACTTCTCAAAATACGTATTCCTCAAACCGATACGTTCAGCTACAGTCCAGAATATGATAAAGTATCTTGAGACTGATGTCTTCCATACATTTGGTGTACCAGAATTCATGCATTCCGATAACGGGAAACAATTTATGTCAGAAGCCTTTAATTCATTCTTGCAAAAATATGGAGTGAAACACATTCGAACTGGATTGTATTCTCCTCAAGCCAATGCTGCCGAACGAGTAAATCAGTCAGTACTTCAGATCGTCCGTTCTTATATACAAGAAAACCAACGTAATTGGGATCAGTATGTAAGTGAAGCAGCATTTGCACTCAGAAGTGTAAAACACAGCTCGATAGGTATGGAACCATATATGGCCGTGTTTGGGTCACATATGATTCAGCATGGCGCAGCATATGAGATAATGAGGA